TTTAATATCTCAAAAAGCTTTGTCTCAGTATTAAACACTTAGTACTAAAGAATATATTTAAGATATAAATAGCTTGTAGAAACATAATATTTTATTTTGACGAAAACTAAAGAATATACATTGCGTACATTTCAATAAAGTTTGGTAGCCACAAAATATTAAAATTTGATTTCTTTCATAGCACAACGATGTTACTACAAACAATACATCAGGTTTCATTATTTCTATAACTTCCAAATTATGGATCGTGCATGTTCTCCATGTAACGTAAAAAACAAAAGCTTAAAATTTTAAATCCACGCGTGGGAATTTTCTTACGACGCATCGTACAGAAGATGGGGTTTCTATTATTAAAAGGGCGAGTTTACTGCAAAAGTATTTTATATTTTAGAATTTGCAAATTGCTTATCAATTGTTTATGCGCTATGTGCGTTTCGGAAATAATGTGATAAATATCTGCCAAAACACCACAGGATACTGAGATACCATCGCAGATTACTATCTACAAAGTATCTACAGGCGTCTTCTGCTCAATTTCGCAGCAAATGTGCAAGGCCTTTTGTTTCTTAGAGGATGTTACGATGAATATGTCGTATCTTGATATGCTGCAGCTGTGGTTATTTTCCCAAATGAGAAAAAATTCAAACTGATATTCCAGTAACATGGAGTTTCATCTCATTCGCACAGTGAGATTAAAATCATTCGTTACATGGAAATGAGCATCCATGTCGCTGGATTGGTCGATATAGGGAAAATGACAAAAATCACTCAGCACTCTTCAGATGACTACTGAGATCTCCTTGACTGGTTGATCAGTAATTTTTGCTCTATGCAAATATATTAAAGGGAATTTACATGTACCCCGCTGCCAGTAATATGAGAGAAACTTCGCAAACACTTACGGTTGCTTTGATGACCATCAGCATAGAAATATTACGACATGTAGGAGCACAACTAAAATACCGTCTGGACGTGAGTCTGGTAACAAGGGAAGCATGCTTAAAACGTTTAATAATATTACGACCAAAATTTGAAAGATTTTACCCCATTTACCCTATAGTATTCATTTTTTTTTTATTTGAAAAATTTTACGAAATACGACGTTTTGAAACCCAATGAATTATTTGTAGTAAACCTTTACAATAAATGAATTAAAATTAGTTTTAAATATCTAATTTCATTAATATATCAATACTTCAGTAGTTAATATATGAATATTTCAGTTAATATGCAACGAATAGGAAAATCAGCAAGAAATCTACAGTGTTACTATTTTATATTTCTCCTCCATTGGTCTTCTATTCTAAAAATAATGTATGAGAGCAGACGACTGTGGCAAAGCATATAAAAATATCTTTCTGCAAAAAAAAAAAAAAAAAAAAAAAAAAAAAGTCGAAAGTACATTTTGCAAGAAAGAAAACTCTTTATAGATGCATAATCGTATTTATTCTCTCTACTGTCGAGTTCTGATAATCCCAATCAACTTTATATAATTATCGATTCATTTGGTACTTGCGTATACTCCCATCGACCGTCAAAGTTTACTGCTATCGAACCATGAAAGTTGGCGGAGAACCCACCAAAACTGCGGTAACAATTCCTGGGACTTCTGAAGAAACTAGCTTGTGTTTATTTAATAGACAATCAGTATTCTCCCCGATTTGGTTTTTGGGTACTTACGTACTATGACGATCACCTTGGCAACATTTGCCGATAAAAATCTTCATTGGCGTTTTTGGTTTATGTTTATCAATTCTGTTAAAAATAAAAGCCCTAATTATAAAAGAACATAACTTAAAAACCCAAAATCCCGTTTATATATATAAAATATATTAAATACGAATTAAAAAATTTTAATTAACTTACTTAAAACTAGTTAAAAGGAAACGTTGAAGTTAATGGTGAGGAAAAGTGGCGGGAAATAGCTTTCAAAATAGCATCGAAAGGAGTTTCCTGTTTTTGGGCCAAATAAATTCAGCTAAATAGGTATCCCAATGATGGAGCTAAATAGGTATCCCAATCCCATTTTTCCGCGTTGTCGCTTTTTCCTCCATTTTGAGGAACCCCACACCCTCTCAACGTGTTGAGTAAGAGTTTGCGTAGATGGAGCAACAAAATTGTATCGATGATTCACCTTAAAATGTTCAAAACCGGTAGTAACGAGCTCCTCTGTTTGATATCAAGGCCGAGAATCTGACATTATTGTTGAGCCTTCAGCAATATTATTTTGGATTTCATGCATTAATGTTGTTGCCACCGGTCTGGCACTCTGACTAGAATTTTTGTTTTGTTTGTTTGTTTATTCTTTCGACTCGTAAAAAGGCTTTCCGTCAATTTCGACAATAATTCCGGGCCCTCCAATTTTAATATTTCCATTATCCTCCAAATCCTTCACACACACTTCACGCATATAATTATTTCAATCAATAACAGTCTTATCGGACAAATCCAACTGATGTTTGTACCATTTAATGGACGACTGTTCGTATGCCCAAAAGTAAACAAATCTAACAGCTTTTAAAAATTCAATAAGTCTGTTTTCAAACCACGTACCAGTTTGGACACCAAACTTTTGTTGACAATTTTTGGCATTGCATCTCCATAAAATCCTGAATTATAAAACTTCATATCATGGTCGTTTTCACTAACGCGTTCTTTGGGTAAAATTCCAGACTCTTTGAAAAATTCTTCTGCTTCTTCTTCATTTGAAGGAAGTTGGAAAATGTTGATATCCGTTGGGAAAAAATAATCACAAAATGTTTCACGTGTTTAACCTAAACGTAATGATCCGCGTAAATGTGTGAAAAAAAAAAGGTGTGATAATAGCAAATGCGGGATAATACTCTTTATTTTAGGACCCTCTATAACCTATATTAGGGTTAACCTGTATAACTTGCAAGGGTCGGCAGTTTTGGCGAGATGTCTAGGTAGTCGTCATAGTACGTTAGTATCGTTTTTTCCCTTCGTAAAAAGGCTTTCGTCGATTTCCATTATTTTTTGTTAAGCTTTCCAATTATACCGTAAGCTCTGTGTAGAATGCTATGAATACAAAGTACCAGAGGTAATTGTTCCAATATATTATTGTTTTGTCTTTTTTTTTCCTAAATATAGGAAAAAAGTACAGGAATATTAGTCAAATCCTTGGGTACTATTCCGTTTTAAGGACTGTAAAAAAATTGCAGCGAAAATGTATGCACAAAAGCGCCAAATCTAGCAAGCGTGCCAAATCTAGCGTAAGCGCTGATTTCAGATTGCGTAAGTTTATATAGTTTATTTCTTAAGACGCCATTGAAATACGAGTTTAATTTTTAAATCCCTTTTTTGATTTTAAATCCTTTTTTGATATCATATGGATTTAACAATTTGGGAATTGCCCATGACGAAAAGTATTTGAAAAAAGCAGAAAACAAGTAAGTGGGCGATTCTGCACTTTACCGATAATTTTTTCAAAGAAAAGGCACCATTCATGATAGAAAATTATGTTTGAACAACCAACGAGATGAAATTATGCGATAACTCGATAGCGAAATAGCGATTAGCGCCATTCAATTATATTTAACAATTGTTATATAAATTATAATAATGATCTGAAATAGTTATTTACTCTTATGCTTCCATTCTGTCATGTTTAGCCTTTTTTATGTAAATTATATAATAAAAAAGTATTATATGAAATTAACCTTTCATCTAAATTAAACATCAATCGTAGATAGTTAGTTATTTACTATTATACTTCCTTTCTTGCGTTAGGTTTGCCGCAATTATTTTTGGCAGCACTGGCATTAACAATAGTTTGGCGATTTTTTACGGCCCTCAAAACCGAATAGTACCAATCCTTGTTCATAAAAACAAAATGTGGCTTACAGGAATCTGTTAGAGTTACATCAAGTGACACCGCAGATTTAAGAGTATGTCCTGACCTCAACTTATGGATAAGTGGAGCTAAATCTCGCTGCTTGGCGACGACTTTTACAGTTGACGGGATAATACGGTACGCACCCTTTAATTTACACATACTTAGTAATTTTTTTCCTTTTAAATGATTTACTGTGATAAATTATTTCCTTTACACAATTTCAGTATTTCTTTATTCAGTCAATAATGCCCCTTATATGTGAAATTCTGTCTCCTTGGATTTTTAACACGTTGACTGTCTTAAAGCAAGACTCAGTTATTATTGTTCAACCTTCAAAAAGAAGCTAGGAATTAGTGTGATATTTAAAAATACTACGCAAAGTAAAATTATTCTTTTACTTCGTGTTTGACTTTCACTACATGATTTTTTGTTCTTTTGCCAGTTGGTAACTAATTATCCTTATTTATACTTATAAACAAGAATATTGTTTATAAGCATAAATAAGGTTGAACAAGTTGTAGTTACAAGGGTCAGCAACAACAAATTATTTTGTAGTTGGTTTTTTAAGAAAGATCGCCGATTGCGAATTACTATCTGATAGTTGGATTTAAACACGGTTAAACATTCTTACACTAGCTTCTGAATACATCTCTTAACCTTAATTGTCCTTTGAATACAATACTTCTAAAATATCCTTTCTTATTAATACATTTTAGTTGTGCTCTCGAATACTCAAATGCAGAACAACACGTGAAACTTAACACTTTTGAAACATGTTGTAAAAAGCTGAGGAATTCCTTGGCCTCTAAACTCAGGAAGAAACTAAGCAATACCATATAATTTCAAATTTCAGTACTGTATCTATGGACCTAAATACCACTAGTGATCTGTAGAAATAAACCTAAAATATTTTCAAATATTTGCTTTCTATTTTTAGAATGCATTAAGTAATAAGCACCGTTATTGCTACAGTTATTTAGTGGACTGATTTATTGTGATTGAACGTTATTAAAGTTTATGAATCCTGCAAATATGTTTTCCAATAATACGAAATCTAACTGCTTTCTCACGACAAACTTATGCGTCTAATGGCAGTTGTGCTTTTAACAGTATATGACATTTTTATGACAATTTCATGACATACCTGCTGATGTGATATTAAAAGTAAGATTTCCCGTTACGCCAGGAACAATAGTTCTTCGGCAAGTATCAGGAAGTCCAGAGAATTGAGTCATCTTCGGATTCGAAAAATACACCTGGAAATGAAAGGTAGACTATAGTAAATGAGATATAGTTACACCTAACATTAAAAGATAAATACAAAAGTATTTCTTCTGTAATTACAAAGATGGCGTATTATGTTGGATCTTCAGTCTCACTGATTAAGAAATCTTTTATCAATTTGCTTTTAAAGAGCTGAGTATTATCAGACTATCTAAAGTAACTTTTGAATATCTCAAAAACAGCGTTGACGAGCACGGTGAACTTTACATTAATGTTATCTTACTCGAAAATAATCCTCTTTTCTCCAGCTTTGATGTCATTCTATCTTCATTAAATACTCTTTTAAAGCAACGCATTTTCCCATCATATTGATATACTATCCCCTAAGCATGAAACGTTAAACCTCTGATGTATTATGACAGAGATATTAAGCAAAATAATTAATATCACCTAGAGTTATTTGCTTTATATGTAACGTATTATAATTTTAAATTTTATAGCTTGTATCTCATAGGTATGCAGATTGTTTTCTTTAGAAACGGATTCCATATTAATGCTAATTAAAATTTTACGTCTGACTTTTAAATTATTATGAAAAGTAAGTAATGTCTTTTCTGGGTTGATCTTTACAATATGGTAACTGGTAGTTTGGCGACATTTTGGAGGCGATAAAGGTTACAACCTGGGACTTTGGTAATAATGTGAGCAGTACTCAGTTCCGATTACGCATTATTTTGCGTGAGGGAAATGAGAGATCATGGGAATATGTCATGTGATATTAATGGACGAATTACGGTTCTTTAATCGGAAAAGGGGGGAAATCGGGAAAAAAATGTGGAAATTTTGTATTTAGCTTTATTTTGTGTTGTGTGAAACAGTGTTGTGTAATTTTTGGATCCCATGGCCCTAACTAAAGTGATTCGAAATGGGTATTTAGGCATTGTGATAAGAGAAGTTTGCTTTTTTTATTTAGCGGAGGAAGTATGGAGGAAAAATTCGCAGAAAAAAAATCTTTGAAAAATTTTTATTGAATGGATTAGAAAAGTGTATCATCCGCCACGTAATCAAGATTCTGAAGAAGCTTAGGTATGTTAGTATTTTTAATTATTTGAGGATATTATTTTTATGCATTGTTCTAAATGTAAGGTGGAAAGGAATTTGGTATTATTGGGAAAATTGTTATTAGCAATGATTTTAGTTTAAAGTAATTAGGATTGTAAGGTAATTTTTATTAATTTAATGTATGTGCTTATTTATATTTTAAGTAGTGTTTTTTGAATTTAATTATATTTTAATGAAATGATAGTTATTTGTGAATTTTATGTTTGTAGGAATTTGGTATACGTTTAAGTTTGAAATAAACCGTGCATGGAAATATTTAAATATTGATACTAAGTATTTGTAATACTTGCGGTATGAATTCGTTGGTGACGTGTATAATGTAATAGATGATTTAGAGGTAAAAGTTTTTTTTGGATATTTTATTTATTTATATGTGGAAATGTTCATATTTGTAAAGGGTAAATACTTTTTTCGCAATCAGGTAATTTCATACATGTTCTTTTTACCGGGTTTAAAGATTGAGAAAATTGTCATGTATTTTCGTGAAATTTTTCTAATTTATGAGAAAAAGCAGTTGTACATGGATATAGTGAAGAGTGTGCGCAATGCCATTTTTGTGCAATTCTGGGATGTTTTTTAAGTAAAAATAAGTCGGCGTGTACATGGTTTATGTGTATGTGTTATTTTGAAAAAACGCGTAAGGTGTATGGTATTGTGCACTTTTTCCCAATTTTGCAGTGAATATTTGTCATGATTAAGCAGTTTTGTTTGATAAAATTTCTAGCATAAGTGTAAATTCGGCTAGTAGATTGTTGGAAGAAGTGTTCAGTAGATAAGAAGAAAAGAAACATGTCTTTACTTCGTGAAGACAAAATGGCGGCGGGGGGAAAAAATAGAGGGTTGCTGTAGGAGAGTTGGTTGCCAAATTTTCGCCAAAAAATCGCCAAGTTACCATAATGTAAAGATCAACCCTTTTCTGCTTATCTGAATCAATAGAGGAACAAAATTCAAAGTAATGTAACACTATATGCAGCCGCAGATTTCGAATAAACTTTTGAATGATATAGGTGACACTCTGTTAAATGTAGAAAAGACCAGATCTCTGGATATCAAGACAAGCAGGATAATAGGAGTTGTGTGTTTCAACTACGAAATTTTTCGTCAAATATTAAAGGACTTATAATTAATTATAAGTGACTGAAGCCAAGTATAAACTATTATATAAAATACAAATAATATTATGGTTAAATTAATTTAATTTTTTAAAATTTTCTGTGAGACTGTTTTAAAAATTCCAATTAAATCAAAACATCTAGCATGGTTTTTCCAAAAATATTTCTTTTATAGCAAATTAAAAAGAAACTTAAATGTTAGTTGTTTTGCTTTTTCTCACTCCTAAATTGATATATTAAAAATAACTAAAATTAACGTTCAGCTTGAATCAACGTAAAAGACAAAAACTAATTATTAAATTTTACATCTTAAGAATATGTTTTAATCCTGTTACCGGTAAATGGCTGCAAAAATCATATAACTCATTTATTTATAGTATTATTTATTTATTATTATCATTTATTTTATAGGATTCTAGTTGCATTGAGTGCCCTTAGCAACTAGAAACTTGAGAAGAGTGTAGAGAGTATTCTCTGGTCTTTTGATAACTACAAGAATAAAATCCAAAGAAGGGTTAAAGGGCTTCCTCCCCTTAAGCAGATACCACTCGAGGATTTTTCATAATCATCTGAATCAAACCATTTTTACCACAGAATATTTAGCGGTGCAGTAGTACACTACACCACACTTAATGTTACAAGTTTTTTCTAATATTTTCATTAATAAACTAAGTAGATCGAATATATTGTTTCATTCCAAAACTAATGTTGCTGTTGCTCTAATGTTACAAATTTTAAGAACTAACTCCATTTTTTATTTATTTTTCATTTTTAAATTCATTTTTTATTTCATATTTTTAGATAAAGTTTTCATTTACCTCTTGTTTTGAATATTGGATTGCTTCTGTTTTACCTTTTTCTTAGACACGTTCCACTTAAATTGGAAATTATTATTAAGCTGCTTGTTTATTATTTCGATGGTATAATTTTATTTAAAAATTTTATCCCGCCCTGCATGGTTTCAAAATTTATATATGTTTTTATTATGGATTGCTTATGCTTGTATGTTTTGTTTTTTGGACTCGATCTACTCAAAATTCTATTTTTTTAAATTTGTTTATTTTTTGTAGCTATAATTTTACAGTTGTTTACACTGCTTACTTCGACCTGCAGGAGTTGGACTGATAGAGATACAGCTTACTTTGTTTTACTGAGGTTATTTTAAGTTTCAAATTTTGCATTTTTATTAGTTCAAGAACTGGCTAATTTATTTATTTCTTTTCTTGCACCAACCCTCTGATAAAGATGCGGCGAAAAATGTATAGTTCTATTTTTAATTTTTTGGTTTTGGAATCTTTCGCCGCTTTTCTTGCAGTTTTCAACTTCTATGCTTCTGGTTATTATTTTATTAGATTTTATTAGATTACCGCAAAGCACTCGAGGGCTACCTGCCTTAAGGGAGGGATGCCTTCGTGGAGGACTTTCTAAGGGAAACTGGCTCGTATACACGTTACACATGGGGAAAACCACGAAAAGGCCCATGCAGCTAGCCCGTTTCGCGGCATTCGAACCTCGGACCGAACTACCAGCGTTCAGCGACGTTACCACTCGGCCGCTGGGTGGGCCACTATGCTTTTGATTTTTTGCATATGCCTTATTCCAAATTGAATTAGAGATGGATTTTTCATGCATTATTTATTTTAATTTATTTGGTATTATTATTACTACCATTTTTCTGCATTCGTGGCGCAATTTATATTAGGTTTCGAGCTGGTGTATATATTTATGAAATTATGATTATCTTATACTTCATATTACATCCGAGTTTGAATCCCGCGAACGGGCTAGCTTCATGGTCTTTGCCGTTGTTTTCTCCGTGTGTAACGGGTATACGAGACAGTTTCCCGTAGAAAGTCCTCTATGAAGGCATCTCTCCCCTTAGGCATATAGCTGTTCGGTGCTTTACCATAATCAAATAAATCAAAAATTAAACACAGGGTACTTACGGAAAATCTCGTCAGCCATTTTTGCCTATTAAAGAAAATACTTTGGTACGTGTAATCAAGACCGTAATTTTCGCGCAAATGAATATATCGGTGATTTGGTAAGTGAAAAAATTCTGATTTTTTATATTATTTGAGGCGAAGAAAAGTATTTCGCGAGACTTGTATTTTCTCGCGAAAATTAAAACCTAGAGAAAATAATTGCTTTTACAGTATAGCTCCTTAATAAAAAATAATAGAAATTTTTAATAAACAAATTAAATATAAATAAATGATAATATAATATATTTGAAAGAAAAATAAGTATAGAAAATTTTTTCTTGTATTTAGTAAATGGGGTTTTTAGTTTGGTGCGGCTGGCATCTTCTCTTGCGGTCGACAGGATTTTCCGTAAGTACCAAACACAGTACATACAACATGGAAGAATATTTTTATTGGAGGCATTTAATGAAAGTCGTATGGGACACAGCATAACCATTATTGTAATATGCGAAGCTATTCACATATTTTACGAGTATCTACATTTAAGTATATTTCTAAATTGCTACAGGTCGAAGATTAAAAGTGCTCGGTAGCCAGTTATTATTAGTCACGATTTACGTGATCAGATACCTTTAATGATTCTACCATTTGCAACATAGCTAGCATATCAATGCATAAACGCTTCTAAAATTTACCATGATTACACATCACTTTAACTAATGAAATTTTACAAAGTTTACGTCCCTTAGTAACAAGCCAAATTAAGGGAGTAACTTCAGATGGACCCCACAGTTTTGATATTATTCTTGATTTACACTTTAATAAAAATAGAATTGAGTTCTACGTTTATCTGGTACGTTTATCCCCTAAGAA